AAGAGATATTCTTTCCTTATTTAGTATAATTGGCTCCCTTGTCAAATATTAATTATCTGTATATGTGAGGTTTTATTTCTGGGCTCTCAATTCTTTTCCTTTGCTATGTATCTCTTTCTGTGCTGATACTATATTGCTCTGATTACTATAGCTTTGTAGTAAAATTTGAAATCAGAAAGTGATGTTTCTAGCTTTGTTCTTTGTTCTTTTTTTTTTTCAAGATTGCTTTGGCTCATCAATGTCTTTTTTGATTCCATGTGATTTTAGGATTTTTTTTTTCTATTTCTGTGAAAAATGCCATTGGAACTTTTATAGGGGTTGCACTGAATCTATTGATGGTTTTGGATAGTATAGAAATGCTAACAATGTTAATTCTTCTAGTCTATAATGTTGTTAGTTGTTTGTTTATTTACTCCAAAGATAATTATAAAGTTACGTTTATGATTTTCTTAATTTTGTTAAAATTCAAAATTTCAACTATGATGTATTTAGGATCTTTCTTTTTTATTTTTAAGACTATTTTGCACGTATCCAGTGAGCTCTTTTACAAACTCGAGACTTTTTTACAATTTAAAGAATTATTATCATTATTAAGCAGATTATTATGTGTTTTCTTTCAGCTTGTTGTTTCCTTTTGAAATTCCTATTATATTTAATGCTATATTTCTCTATCTCAATGTTATCTTTTGTTATTTATTTTATCTTCCTGGAAAATGTATTGCCATTTTATCATTTTTCTCTTAGCTCTTTCATTCAACATATATTTATTTATTTCAATTTTTTAAAGATTTTATTTATTTATTCGAGAGAGAGAGAGAGAGAGAGAGAGACAGAGGCAGAGACATAGCAGAAGGAGGCATCATGCAGGGAGCCTGATGTGGGACTTGATCCTGGGACTCCAGGATCACTCCCTGAGCTGAAGGCAGATGCTTAACTGCTGAGCCACCCAGGCATCCCTCAACATAAACACATGGTCTGTATCAGATGTTAAGTATTGGGAATATGGGAATATGGGCATTGGGAACATGTGGGTGGCCATGTCAAAAATAAATCCCCCCCTTCATAGAATTGACGATCTCGTGAGGAAAGCAGATAGGCAGCAAGCAATCATAAGAGTCCTGCTAGAGGAACTTTCTTAAAATGGGTTTTGTTCATTACAAAGCTATTATTTCTTGCCTCTAAAACCACTGGTCTATAGTTTGTAAATCTGTGGATGGAGACTTCTTTGCTAGACACTGGTTCCCTGTAAGGTTCCACCAGTGGTAGGTGCCAGAGGGGACTGGTGACTGACAGGTGCAAGAGGGAGAAAAACTACTTCTTGTTAATTTTCTTTCCAGGTCAGTATCACCACTCCCACCCCCACCTCCACCCCTGAGAGTTTCTTCATCCTAGAAGTGGCAGTTGCTTCTGGTTTCTAGGTTATTATTTTTCTAAAATACTTCCAGAACCAGCTTTGTTAGGCCACACAGAGGTCAGCACCAGGCTGATGGTCAGTCTTTCTTCAGAGATCTGGGTCCTTCTTCCAAGTTCCAGAGGTGCCAGCACCAATACCCAGTGTCTCACAGCTCTATTACTCCAACTTTTTCCCCCTTTGTCTTTTTAATTCTCCTGCCTGGATCCTGCCTGGATCCTCCCTTAGTTTAATTTTCTGCAATATTCAGGATGCTGTTTACAGTCTTCATGATATGTGTATTTCTAACTCAGCACTTATGTTGCGTTTTTTTCCCTCCTGCATAGTGGCAGTTTTCTTGATCTCAGATGTTATCCTATTTATAACTCCCTACTCTAGATTCTCAGTTGCTATTTCCTTTTGAATTTAAAGAGCTTAAATTAGAAGCCATCCAAAAATGCCTCTTGTTTCTTGTCTTAGAGGAAGCCACTTAATCTCAGTTCTATGGTTTGCCTCCTTTATTTGTAGAAGAATTCTTTTTATATGGCGGGGGATGTTTTCTCTACTATTGGAAGTTGCATGGGTTCCTATGTGAATTTTTCAAGCCTTGGAACTAACATAGGCGATAAAAGTACTTACTTAGTTTTGCCAATTCAGAAACTTAATTAGGCTGGGTGGACCTATGGTGAGAATCAGAGGTAGAACTGGATGCATGTAACTCTGTGTCTAAGAGTTTATTTCCATGATTTTTATTACATTTAGTAGCTATCTGGAAGTTTTCTGGTCTGTTTGCCCCTCTTGGGAATCAGAAATGCCAGAGTTCCCACCATGAGCCTCTGGTATGGGCCAAGATGCGGTGATAATTGTGTTTCTCCCTTGGTGTGGTATCTGGTGCATGGTCAGCTGACTTTTAGGAGTTGGATCTTGATACATGACAGCATACTTTTCCCCTGACCTCCCACTCCATTGCCGATTAATCTTTTGTCTTTGTATTTACATACTGAAGAGTTTTTTTTTTTTTTTTTAAGATTTTATTTATCCACCCATGAGGGACACAGAGACAGAGAGCGGCAGAGAGAGAAGCAGGCTCCATGCAGGGAGCCCAACGTGTGACTCGATCCCGGGTCTCCAGGATCACGCCCTGGGCCAAAGGCAGCGCTAAACTGCTGAGCCACCAGGGCTGCCCATACTGAGGAGTTTTAACATGATTCTTGTCAGAACCATTCCAGTGATTTCCAATGTCAGTGGGGAAGAGCATGAGGTTGGTTAGGTCCCTGGCTGGATATGATCTACTAGAACTTTCTCAAAATTTCTTGACAATATTTTTTTCCTATATCAGAAAGGTGTCAATACAGGGTTTCCTTTTTTATAAACCTATTTCATTGAGCAGTTGGGAATGGAGGGGAAAATGATTTCACTCTAGTTTTCTTTTCACCTGCCACTGTATTAACATAGTGGAGTGCAGAACTAACCATAAATTATGCATTTTGCTACCTTTTCCATTTCTCCTGAGCAAAGAAAGGGAATAGGAATGAAAGATAGAATAGAGATTCCTACCATCCGTTTTCTGTGCTTCATCTGGTTGAATACAGATTATTTGGTGCTGTCAAAGCTGCAACCATTATTTAGCAGCATGAAGCAAGGCTTCATTTAGGAAACAAAACAATCAAGGAAAACAAAATGGCGAACAAACCAAACAAAATTGGCCACGAAAACTCAACCCTTTCCATTAGCAAAGTGAATGTTGGTAAAACTCGTGTTAGAGTCACTCACACTGTATGCTAGATTAATTTCAATACGGTCCCAATGAATAAATGAATCCTATGGAGGAGGGATTTTTTTTTTTTTTTTTTTTGACTCACAGATTCCTTGTGGGAGAGCAAAGGAAACCCTGTGGCCAAATTGTGCAGGAAGTGGGAGAGTTTTCATTCTGATATTTACTCACAGTTCCTCACTCACAGTTTTATCCTAGGTCAGGTAACCCTCATCACATTTGCAGTCAGAAATTCCGAATCCTAAGGGCTCTGGAAGCTTATGGATCTTGAAAGAAGAAAGCTAGCTAGCTTTACGATTTAGGGGACAGCAGAGAAATGAGAAGAAGGATCCTGCCCCCTGTCTGCTATGCAAGTCCTTCTAAGATCTTTTGCCTCATATATACTCATCAAGATCCCTGAATATATAGCACTACTGACAAAAGACATTGGTTGCCTCTGGGAGGGAAAACATTAAGAGTAGAATTCAGAAGAAAGTGAATACATGGATTGCTCTGCTTGTTATTCATCCAGTGTTTCTGACTTGCTAAAAGCAAGTTTAATGTATTTATACAATTTGTAAAGATGTAACTGATTCTGGAGCTCTGCTCTTTACAGAGAACATATTTCATGTTATTGTAAGCACTAAAGAAAATTAAATCAATAAATCCACAGCCTGTAATTTGAGATACTCAATTGAAGAAAAATACATCGTCTGGGAGGGAGGGGGAATCATTTACATTGAGAAAGACTTGTAAAGCTATCTTTGCTCAACTATCCCAGGATTTCAAGTGACAGCAAGAGTGAAGCCTGTGCTGTAAAATTATCAGAGTGTTGTTGTGACACCTCAAAAGAAGCAGAGGCCAACTCCCACTCTGGTTCTCGAAGCATCCACTCAAGTGGAAAGCCACGCAGCAAAGCTTGTTCTCTCTGAACTATCTGTGTGTCCTTTTCCAGAAAAAAGTTTGGCTGGTGAGCCAGCAGAGCCTGGATGTCAGGATGCTCAGGGAATTTTTCCCCCTCGCTGCATTGATGATCTCCGTGACCACTGGCAAGCCAATTAACCTCTCCAAACATCACCCTTCCATGTGTAAAAGGTTAATACTGCAGCTTGTTTGCAAAGTGCCTCGAGCCTTCCTTGAAGGGCACTATGCAGATACCCAGCATCACTGTTTGACTGGAGGGCGTTGTATTTTTTAATTATATGTTTGGTTGGATGAGTTATAGATTTTGTTGTGGTTGAATGTTGCCCCATTCTCCCTGGTTACACATAAAAGCCTAATAGGTAATCTCACTCTATTACCATCTTCTAGAGCCCTCTAGAGGGTTAAGGAAAAGGCAGAGGTTACAGATTAATAAGGCATTCTTTCGTTAATAATAATAAAAAAATTCACGTGCATCTCAACTGCATAATAGCTGTGCATAGCAATTTATCAGGCCAAGTGTTTCATCAGATGCTAAGCAGATTATGCTGGCACAGACTCAGGAAATGATGAGTTGTTTGTTGGTTTTCTTTCTGCTCTCCCACTAAATCTTTCATCCTTCACGGCAGGATAGAGCGTTAGGAAGTTCTGTGCAGGTTTATTTCACATGTGCTCGTGAATACTTGGGAAAACAATTTTCTTCTTCTGTAATTCCTGAAACCCAGTGACTTTTCTGTATTTATCTAGTTTGTGACATGAAGCTTGCTATCTTTTTCTTTTTTTTTTTTTAAGCTCCCTAACTTATTGCATCTGGAACCAATGTGAACAATACTGGCCCTAGAGCAAGTTGTCACGTGGACCTCACACTCTCACACTCTTCTTTTTTTTTTTTGTTTTTGTTTTTGTTTTGTTTTGTTTTGTTTTGTTTAATTGCAGATCTACGGAAAAACTTTGAACAAGATCCACAGGGAAGGGAGGTTCCCATCGAAGGCATGATAGTGCTACACTGCCGACCGCCCGAGGGTGTCCCTGCTGCTGAGGTAAGGCCCGGGACCCAAGAAGGGGAACCGAGTCCCGCGTGATCCTGAGTGAGGTAAAAGAGCCTGTGTGTGGTGTTCTTGCTGTCTGAACCCATTTGCCAAAGATGATGAAGAAATTGTGGAGCAAATATTTTGGAAGAGGAAATTGTCTCTCGACTACTTGGTTGGTGACACAAAGCTCTTGCGAGGTAGCCTGAGTAGGATTTGGTCTGTTGTCTTAATTTTGGTGACCTCAGGTGACACAGGTGGTATCCTTTGTGTCCTCAGTCACCTTGGACACTGTGATATGCACACTGGGTCATGAATCAACCTGAGCTCTAACAGGCAGAGCCACGTGAAAAAGCCCACAGAGGAGATCAGCCCCTAGAGCGAAGTGTCACTGATGTTTGTACTTATTAGTCTTTCTTTAGTAATGGAACAGACATTCACTGAGCATTTATTGTGCTGTAGGCATTGTGCCGGCATGGGGGATATAAAAAGTGTTGAAGCTACAGGTCTCCTTCCCAGTGGGAGTCTAAAATCCAGAGTCACTGTGGTTTTTGCACCTTGCATGTTTTCTAGAACTCCTACCATGCTATTAGAATATGGTTGTCAGTGATGACCTATGGTGGTAATAGAGAAACCTTCCTAAATCTTTCATTCACTCTTAAAAGATGTTCTGATAGATGAGTAATACAGTTAGGAAGGCAATATTAGGGGTAGAGGCAAGCTAGGAAGTACCAGGAATGCTTAGTAGAATGATGAGTTTTATAAATGTAGGCCTGAGGTGAGCAGTAGATAGTCCAGTTGTGACTCTTCTGTAGGAAGCTAGGAAACTGTCCTCAGAGCTATGGTTTGTTTATTCACTGAGAAGTAGAGATTTAAAAAGAGGGGGGGGGAGGGGGAAAGAAAGAGCCTTTGCATCATATTTTTCGCTAAAATTGCTGTGGGATTTTGCAATTGGAAGGACAAAGGAATGAGAAAATAAAGGGAAATGAAAAAACACACACACTTGCATGTTTAGACAGAAAGCATGCTGGGTGGACACTATTCAAAGCTCAAGTGGTTCACAGAAATGAAGTAAACGGACTTGAAAATTAAAGTGAACATTCCATGCATGATAGGAAATGATTAGAAAGGAAAATGCTTATTTTTAGATTTTCATTTAATGTGAAACAGAAAGATTTTTGAACTTCTTTTGCCACCTTCTTGTTCCTTCCAGAGTGTGCTCTGGTGTCCAGAGCAGGGTGACAGGCAGCAGGGCACTAAGTGCACAGGTGAATGTGTCACTTCCATTCGTGACTGCCTCTGTGCTCCCAGGACTCTAACTTGAGTGTCAGCAGTTTGCTACAGGCACCATCTACCCCTCAAAATCCTGATTTGCAGATGTCTGTGTGGACATGACATCTGGGGGGGACCCTCTAACTCAGTGCACTTCTCATTCTCCCATTGGTATCATATGACCCTTTTATTTTAACCATGTGTACGTTATTAGGAATAAATTTCAGAGCCAGCCTGGCTGATTTTAAACTCTTTTTTTTTAAATTTTATTTATTTATGATAGTCACACAGAATGAGAGAGGGAGGCAGAGACACAGGCAGAGGGAGAAGCAGGCTTCATGCACTGGGAGCCCGACGTGGGACTCGATCCCAGGTCTCCAGGATCGCGCCCTGGGCCAAAGGCCAAACCACTGCGCCACCCAGGGATCCCCAGCCTGGCTGATTTTAAATAGAGGGCCATTGCCAGGAGCAGCCAGGACTGCAGGATGGTTTAAAACAGCAATTCGGAGCTGAGAGTGGAGGAAAGCTGTGTTTTGTACATTTTGTATCATAGGATGGATATGGAGTGTGTTCCAGCTACATCGTGGGTTAATGGACTCTTGTGGGGCCCTGACAAGCATTTAACGCATCATCATAATGCGAGGAGGCATCCCAATTCCAAACACTTGAGTTACCTTGGAATCATGAGTCAGATACTACCCATATCCACATGCCAATATTTACAGCTCTTCTAGCATGCAATAGGTCACACAGTCGTTATTACCACCGACATCTGTATTTTTGCTGAAGGGAGGGCAGCATGGCAGAAGGAGGCTGAGAGAGAGGAGGACAGGATGGGGAAGGAAAGGGAGAATGTGCATACCCTTCCAAAAGGGGGCTCCCTGGGTAGAGATGTCTGACAGCGCCTGTCACCCGCTCTTCGGACCTCCACGAGTGCACTGCTGTGCCTTCTGACATCACCGTTGGGTGAGGATCCTGCAGCGTTCACGACTCTCCAGGGTGGCAGTCGTTGGGAACTCTGCTTGGAAATCGGTCAGTTAGGTAAGAATTGTCACTGTAAAATAGCTCCTGCTATCTTCTTTGAGAAGGGATGCTTCCCTTTCCACCATGTAGTTCCCTTCCTGCCACCTGCTGTGGGACCCTGGGGTCATCACTGGAAGGGGCTGTGCCTGGTGGCGCCATGGGTTTTGTCCTGCAGTGACATACGAGGTCTCCTCTGTTGGCACACTAAAGACCTGTACAATTGTCTTCTCTCCGTGAAGTAGTTTCCTTGGCAACTAATTCACCTGTATGACCACGGAAGGCGGTTTGCATAAGCATAGGAAGAGCTACCATGTATAGAATGTCCCCATGTGCTGGGCACCGTGTTCAGTGCCTTCTCTGTGTTATTTCATGTGATTTGCAAAAGAGATGCTAGAAAATTAAATGTGTTTTCATGTCCTTCTTATAGGAACTTGTCTAAGCTCTCAGATCAGTAGGAAGCCAATCTAACCTTAAAGCTCAGATCTTTTTTTTTTTTCCTTCTCTAATATTTCTTGTTGGTTTTTAATGAGCCTGTGGGTTCAGTGAGTCTCCCTAAAGCTTTTTGAAGCTAGAGAGCCCCTAGGCCAGGGGTAACCTCTCTGTTTGTTATGCTGCCGGACTTTCTTTCCATCCTTAGAAATGGAGTTTTAGATTAAAACTTCTTCTAGCTAATATAGCAATCCCAAACCTTCTGCAAATTGTGTTCTTTCGTTTGAGATAGGTCATCTGGTGGTGAAACAAAGAACAGTGAAATGAAGAAATGGAGGCTTTGGATGCTCAAGGGGTCAAGGAGTCTAGAGAAGGATGTCTGTGGAGGCTCTGCGCTCCCAAGGGCCAGGAACGTGGGTTTGATGCTGTCCTAGGAGATAGGAAAGTACAATGTCCAGAGTTACAGGGAGGAGGAGAAAAGTGGATGTATGAAAGGGTAATCTCTACCCTCATTACAGTTTTTCCTTTATCTGGCATTGGCCATGACAGATCTCATTGTCATGAAGGGTCAAACCCTGACTAGCACTTCCCAGTGCTGTGACCTATTAGCAGTTTACTAGCCACCCTAAACCTCAGATTCCTCATCCAAAAATGGGAAGCATATTTTCCTTGTAGGATTGCTAGGAGACAAAGAAAGAAAAAAGCCAGGGAATATGCAAAACAGTCTTTGGTACTAAATACATAGTAGAGATTATTATGGTTTTTCTTCTTCCTCCTTATCCTAGTCTTTTAGAAAGCTTCACAAACCTTTGGTTCTCAGAGATGAGGTGAAGGCTCCATTGTAGCTGGAGGACCAGATTAAAACTGAGACTTGTACAATATCTGACACATTTTCAGCCCCATGAAAAGCAGGGCGCTGCTAAGACCATCCCTCCATACCCCACACTACCAATGAGCTCTGCCTTTCCCACCTGAGCCCTCTATTCTTACTTTGCAAGCTCATCAAAAGACAGACACACTCTCCACCTCCCTCTCTTTTAATCTATCACATGGAGGAAATAAATGGTTATTGACAGAAGCTGGTGACTATCAATGTTTGTTCACCTTGCTTACCCCATTGCAGAGCCTAATGTATGGTACCAGGAGTAGTAAAACACTTTCTGAAAAGTAGCATATGAACTTGAAGATTCTCACAGACTCATTTACACACTGATTTGGATGAAATAATAATAGGTCACGCGCTCTTTGCAAAACACCTGATATGTGAACAGATGATAATCTGAGTTTTTCTAAACACCGTGAGCTCATCCTTTAGCTGGATGTATTAGAGCATTTTGGTCACTGCAGTTGCTTCTCACCTTGACCTTGGGACATTTCTAACTAAAGATAGCGACTTTAGTGTTTGACACTTGTTGTTTAGCTAAAACCAATTTGCTCTTTTCAAAACAATTCATTATCCCACACTGCACTTTTTTATACTCCCCAATTAAATGGAAAATCTATCTTTCATAAAAGTTAGAAATTATGTCCAATGAAAAGCCGACATTTTAATGGTTTTCCACAGATTAAAATTGTAGAGTTCTCAATAAACCCTGATTTACTGATGTTGGCTATAAAATGGTTATTGCTGTTAATAAAGCCTGTAAATCTTAACAGGTTATATTTGCCTTGGACAATAAAACTTGCCATAAAGGCTTAGTGTCTAAGGCTAATTCTGCTCACATCAAGGTAAACAGCCTACTCAAAATAATTCAATGTCTTTGAGAATTAAGGCCCCAAAGCTAAGCAACTGACAGATTCTAGCCTTGAGCCAGTGCATGCCAGGCACTATTCTTGTTTTTATCTCACCAAGGAGTCAAGACAGTGCTGGAATTAGACAATTCAAGAAGATCGGGGGCCCTAGTCAGTGCATTGTGGGGTAAGGAGGAGGTTCCCTTCATTCTGCTGGGCACCAAATCGGTGTTATCATTGACTGATCACTAGGTTGCAATGCTTGTATAACAAGGGGAGGTTCCAAGAGTGGAATGAAAGAATGAATATTTGCTGTTTCAAAGAATGTGTCAGAGCTTAGACAAGTATAAGAAGCCAAATTATTGGTGGGGGGTTGGAGGGGAGAGAGGGGACAGGGATGTGGGGGCAGGGGAGTCTTTCCTTTCCAGATGCCCAAGTGGATAGCAAAGATATCTTAAGAAGCTCTGTTAATCTTGGTCACTTGGTGGACCATTTGACATGGTTTCTAATGTATGTGAGATTTTTTTTGTCTCCCTTATTCTAAGGTAAAAGTCCAA